TCTAGCGAACATACGGAAGACAACAAATTCTTAGTTTCTACGAGTATCCTTCAATTGCATATATCTGAATGACCACAAATTTGCGTGGTCAATTTTGCATCGTTGACTTGAGAATTCTACAAAAATGACGAGAAAGAATTAATTTGTATAATATTCTTTTAGGACTTGAAAGATCGGCTAACACTTATTAAACAACTAGGATGTAATAGAATCAAAACGTATATTTGGTGGACATTACATGAATCTGAAGATGGCATATTTATATTTGGCAAACCAGAATATTGTTTTGTGTCCTTTATTAAACTAGCACATAGTTTAGATTTATTGGTTATCGTTCGTGTTGGACCGTATATCACAGCTGAAGTGGATTTTAATGCATTTCTTATTGGATTACGAGGAAACAAGACATTGCTCTACATCGTCCAAATCAAATGTATTATCAATTGATATCACATTTAGCTTCGTTACAATACCATCTAGATAGAAGTATTATTAATTTTCAAATCAAAGATGATTCTGATGTACCATTAATTAGTTTTGATGAAACTCATTTCTATTATGGGTATTTACGTGATGGATTAATAAAACGAGGAATTCCAAGTTTGATTAATACTCTTGCTTGGCCTAATGGTATATCATTAGACAAAGCAATTATACCGAATACATGGACAGCAATAGAATATACAGCTAAACATTCTACATCAGATGTATTAGCAGTATTACGAAAACATGCACCAAATCACAATCCATTTATGGTTATGGAATATTATCCAGACTGGATAGATTATGAAGGACAACATCATCGAGCAATCGATAGTAATATATTTGCCGAAGGCGTAGATAAAATATTAAAATATAATGGTTCAATTAATTTTTACATGGTATTTGGTGGAACAAATTTTCAATTTACAAACGGTGGTGATCAAACACTAGCATATCATCCAATAATAACATCTTATGATTATAATGCTATAATTACAGAATGTGGTGATACATATCCAACAAAATTTAAAGCTGTACGTGATATTATTGCAAAATATCTACCATTACCCACTAATCCCAATACCGGTATCATCACCAAAAGGTTTATATGGTACACTTCAGTTTAGTTTTCGTGCTGAATTAATGCGAAATCTTCATCCATTTAATGTACTTTACAATATGAAGATACCAATTCAGTATGAATATCTTAATTAAAGTTATGGCTATATCCTTTATTCTACACAATTAAAAAATTTTATCGGTCTCGGTGAACCATTGTTATTACCATGGATGCAAGACCAAGCAGTTGTCTTATTAGATGAAATGGTACAAGGTGTGATTGAATGGACCAAAAAAGATCCGTTAACATTAATTAATTCAAATTCTTTGAAGACAAATCCAAATCCAAGATTAGATATTTTGATGGAAAACAAAGGACGTTGTTGTAGTGTTTTACCAAACTTAGGATGTAATTTTAAGGGTATGAAAAGTAAACCTCGATTAGGCCTACGTGAATTAGGCAATTAGACGATAACTAAATTACCAATGAATGATAAATTGATTGAACAATTAACTACATTTGATTGGGAACCAATGCCATCTATTACTACAATAGTAGTTTCTTTGTACAGATAATTGGAGACATGGATTCATAATGATCAACGGTTTTAATCTCGATCGGTATAACGAAAAAGGACCACAACGTACAATGTATGCACCAGCACAGATTTGAAAACAAGGTATCAATGAGATTTTGGTATTTGAAACTGATCGACGACAAACATCATACAATATAAATGAAAGAAATATGACATTTATGGATCATCAACTGTGGACTGATTACATAAACTAGAATATTGTGAGCCCGTCAATACGTTTTCATTCCATTTTTGCATTATTTCTACTTTGCCCATTGTTTGCATGTCCTAATGCACGACTTTTTTTTATTATATTGAATTTCGAATTAGCAACATAGAACAATGAATGACTATCAAATCAAAAAGTTGTCGACTATTTTGTATGTTGTTAGATCTAATCCGCATATAAACATTGACTATACGAAGCATATACCATCACTTTTTGTTTTCATTCTCTAGTCAACTATCTTCAATGTACCTTTCATTTCAAGAATAATATTGAGTTTTAACTTGAATATTCCACTAATTCCAACTTAAGAAATATTCAAGTTAGAATTTGAAAATTCTTCTAAGTAAATTTGAGACTGAACAGAATCTAATATTGAATGGTGATATAAAAGGTTTATACATAAATATAGGTGTGGGTGTCCCAAGACGATGATTCCGGCCTCTGGAAACGATTGGAATCTGCCAGAAAGATCAGGAAAAATCATTGTTTCCGGCCATTTCCAACCGGAAAGAACAGGAATTTGGTTGGAAAGTATCGGAAAAGTCCGGAAATTTCCCCGGTCCGGAATACTGCTTCCATGAAATCTCCGGAAAGTACCGGAAACGGTCGATTCCTTGACGTATTCTTCGACCTGGAGTGGAATGTGGATATGGTTGTGGGTTGGGTGCTTGTTATCTCTTCGTCCACCGCCACTTACACACCCACATTCGTACCAATATTCGTACCTACACTCGCATCCACACTCACGCCCTATTCGTCATAATCAACACAAGATAATAAAATATTGTCTTAAACTTAGAATTATTGATTATTAGGAAAAAAAAAGGAAAATGTATTAAACATAATATTCTAGTTTGCTGGTGTGGGAGTAGATGTGAGAGTGTGCAGTTGTGGACGTGGGTATATGTGAATGTGCATGTAGATATGGGTCTTTTCTTCAACCAAACTCACAGACTCACGTCCACACTCACATTCTTCCTAAATCTAAACTATATGCTACGTAGTTCGTAATGACCATTTTGTTTGTCTTCAACAATCCAAATAGTTGTCATCGTTATTGGCGATCGGCGCTACTTGATTATTCGTGAGTGGTTGACGACAATTCTTTGGCATCTCTCGAAGAGATTTCCAGCATTTTTTCACCAGAACAGATTTTGTTTGACGACGAAATCGCATCGATGAGATCAGAAATACATAGAATGTACCCTAGAAATTTATAAGCATGAGTGATATCAAAGAAATCATGACAACAACTCAAGTGACATACCGAAACATTGACATAGCTAATAGAGATGTTGATGGCTGTGATGAGCAGCTCAATTGCGTTTTGGAGTGTTTCCTTTTTATGATTCTGTGTATTCATGGTGTAGAGAGATTGTGCGATATAAGGTAAAAGACAAAGAACAAAAAGTATCACTCTAGCGAGAATCATAGCTGTCAACTGTTGATCAAGTAGTCGTCGGGCATTACACATTTGTTGTCGACGAATACGTCGAACATTTCGGTAGGCCGATATACTGAATATGGATGCTAGAACGATCGGTATGATTCCATTTAAAATAGGCAAATGAAAAAATGAGTAGTATCGAACAAAATCCTTATTACTGAAAACACAACCGTATGCAGTTTTGATGTCAAAAAAGATGGCCAATGGAATATTGTAGAAAAGCCAAGTAATAGCCGCAATTGCAATGAGACATTTTGCTAATTTTACAGTACTCAATTGTCGCATGCGTGGATTACAATTAGTAGAAAAATATTGATCGATCACTGCAAAATTAACCAAAGATAGAACCATCAGGACACACCATTGAATAATCGGATATCGTAATTTACACCATATAAACGCTATTCGATCTGAGTTGATGTTAAATATTTCTTCAATAACTCGTAAGACTGAACCAACGATCAAAATGCCGAGATTAGACATGGATTCAGCAATAATATAGAATGTACCAGGATATTTTCGAAACTTTTTAAGCGTAGCAAAAATGACAATATTGCAAACATTGCCAACAAGTCCAGCTATTAAAATAATTAAAAATGCGCATATGGTGTAAAGATGAACGACATTCAAAACAATTTGTACTGTAGTCGATGACATTGCGAGATTTTGTAACCGTGCAATAAGTCGTTAGAGATACGGTTTTATTTATTGAAATCGGTTGAACAAATGTGGAAAAGAGAAATGCTGAAAGTAAAAATATCGAAATGTTAAAAAGTCAAGTGTGGGTAAGACTCTGAGTATTCTCTTTATCTACAGTCACATAAATTCGAAACAAAAGGTCTGTTGCAGCATATCAAATACGAAATCGTCTTCATGAAATGTTTTCTCGTCAGCTTTATTACACAGAGTAGTAATAGCCTATTTCTTGTAGCGCTGATATTAATATACTCTTTATCTAGATCGATATAATATTCCATTTAGCTTCCTACATAAAAAGTATAGTATCATGAAACTATCTTTACTAGGACTTAAAATGACAATAATATTAATGTTTCAGCTTCTTGCAGAGAGATATGTGTACATTTTAAGAAAAAGCTTTCATAGTAACTGCTCTTGAATTTAAATATGAAATACGATGAATCGACTATCTCGGTGAACAAAACTCTTAGTCATATCACTCAGTATTCATGAAAAGTTACATGAACAAAAAATATCAAAATGTCTCTCATAACTTTTGATGCCAGAGAGATTTATCCGTTCTGACTGTCTGCCGTGTCTTTTTCAACACTTATTTATACTTGCGTCTCATAAATTCTGCAATTTCAGAAATTTCATATCTTAAAACATTAGTACATGACAAAGAAACTATTGAAAATCCTACAATGACCAAATAAAAACTACAGAAACTTCTTATAATCGTACAGACAATTTCACCATTTACTGGAATTGAATTATAAATATTGCGAATATTTCTCACGCATAGCAAAGAGATTACAAAAATTACTCAAATCAAACACTATAAAATTCGAAATCAAATAAATTGAGCAGTGTAGCTGTTCCAAAATATTCTTGACGAGAATCGATTTATTATATCGTACATCACTTTTTTTACGTTCTTCTGACTAAATAAATCGATACTGAAGAGTATTTGTAGAGTAGTTTGTTTGAAATGCGAATGGCTTTCAATATCTAATGTATTGTCTATAAAAGCAAAGATATTACATAGAATCCTTTATTAAAACACTTTTTCCTAAAGATTAAAGATAAAAACAACGAAAGATTTACATATGACTATTGAGGAAAACATCTTTCATGCAACTATCTAGTCTATCTTCTTTCAGTTTCTAAAATCAATTCCATTTTTCGCTTTACGTTACTTAGAAGTACAACGAACTTAGTATACCATACAGTTTGACATTTATTTCTCGATAGGGACTGAACCGAAAAAATCCAAATATGTTTCACAAGATTTCCTCTGCTTTTAGAACAGATTGCTGTGAATAAGTGCATCTTCTCATTTAGTAAAACAAGATTACAGATGAGTGTTGAAGTATATCATACAGATTCTGACAAACATTTTGGAATTTTAGTCTATCTAGTATTCACCAAGAATGATCGACGTGGCTAAGACTCTCGTTGATCGATCGAGTGGATCTATCATATTTCAAACTGAAATTCTACAGACAATACACAAAGTGCTTTCTTTCAATACTTTATCATTTCCTACATAATGAAAACGATCTACGTCAATCATTATAATAATTAGTAGTGTGAAAAGTGCATTATGGCATTTGAAAACAAATTAAATGCTCTGAAAAATAATTTGTTTTGAATACAAATTTCTGTAGAACACGATTTAAGTAGTACATTAGCGATAGGCAATGACGTATATTTTCTTTACAAAAAAATGAAAATTAACTAGAAAGAGAAAACAGAAAGAAGATAGGACAGCATGATTAAAATGTAAGAGTGAGAAGAAACAGTCTGCTATCGCAAAAAACAATTGATATAATCAACAAAAGAAGATACTGGTGATGTCATCGATTGTCAGACTGACAGATGCCAGAAACAATGCATTATATGGCAGAGAATACCAACCGCTACCATATGTGTCACAGAAGAGAAACTACCCATGTGAAAAATTCAAGAGAAAAAAGCTCGTTGAAAGGTGCACATTTCACACAGTTGAGCAGCATTTACACTTACATATTTAAGTGTTTCTAAGCGCTGATTTTTTAATCAGAAAACATTCGTAGATGATCTACTTCTGTAGCCGTTATACTATACGCGTATGTAGAGAATCACGAGAATAGTATAACATCAAAAAAGACTTCGCCTCCTTTCCATATCTATTCGAAATAATGGCTTTTTATCCAACTCCTTATCCGGATGAGTAATTTTCGAAAACAAAGCGTATTTTTGAATTCGATTTGTAACTTTGTATACATGAAAGTTTCAATCTTCCGCAAGAAAGTAACTTAAGCCTATATCTATTTATCGTTTTCCATAATGATCTTATTTTTTGTTTTTGAAATACACTCAGTAGCCCAAATTTTCTACTTGCAGGTAACCATATTCTCAATAAATATCTTCATGAATGGACAAAATATGAAAATCGTGAAGTTTTTTAAATATCTTGGATTTACCTGAACGAGTAAATTATCTTTAAAACCAACCATCAACAGATGTGTCAACAATATACAGATATCTCTTG